AAGTACAGCTAAACAAACCTGTGTGTGTGTGTGTGTGTGTGTGTGTGTGTGTTTGAGCGTGTTCTCGAGAGCTTCCAGCTCAGGAACATCAAGAGCTGTGTGCTGGCCAGAAGGCTCTCCCAGGGATAAACAGGGGGAGAAACTAATCCTTACTCCTCTCCACATCCAGGCAGAGACTGTGTATGTGTGTGTGTTGCTGTCGGCAAGGTTGTGTGTGCATGCTGTTGACCTCAAAGCATTAGAAAAAGATGTGTTACAGGAATGCATGTTTAGTCCATGTCAATCACTCGCAGATATGCATGTTTGTGTCCTGGTGCACGTCTGTGCGAGTGTGTGTGTGTATTTGTAGGGAGATTGAGAGACTGTACTGAAGGGTTTTGTGTAATCGTGCTGAGCGCCGAAGCGTGTCGAGAGAAAGGACATGTCCTCAGCTCTGATCACATAGTCTACTACAACCACAATAGAGGGAGAGGGGGATTGAAATGGTGTTAGAAGAAGAAAGGGAGAGAAAAACCACGAAATGAATGGATGTTGAAGACAGGATGACAGACGCAAAAAAAAAAACGACGGAGTGAACGACAGCGAGAGAGAGGAGTGCAGGACAAAGATTTCAAGAGGAATGGGTTGAGAGAGAAAGATGGATGGGGCATGGGTAGAGAGAGACACATCTTGATCGAGACAGAAAGAAGTAAAGGGCAAAGAGAAGGGTGAGGGAGTGATGGAGTAAAGTGAGAGATAGACGGAGAGGGATTGAAAGAAATGGAGGCAGAGATGCAAGAATGGGAAGGGAGGATGCTGTTTTCCTACATATCTCATACATTCAGCGGCGGCTGCCTCCTCTCAGCACTGCAAAGAAAAAAGTAAGCCCTGCTGTAAAGTAGCTGGCCCCTCGGCCTCGCCCGGCTAATTGCTGGGTATCACTGTGTCAAATGACTAATAGAGTTTCCCTTCCCGTCACTAATCCGCCAGCAGGAGCGCAGCCACGATTTGTTTACTCTGCGTCGTAGCAGAGCAACACGAAGACACACCCGCCCCTTTTTTATTTCCTCTACAACACAATTTCACACGGCAGAGTGCCAGGTGTGAGGTGTGTTAGTGGTGCACACACTTGTACACACGTTTCATGATGTGTTCTATTCTTTATGACACAGTGCTGGGAGTTTGTCTCATGCTGGGAATGACAAACCCGTGCATGTGTTTGTTTGTTTCACTATACCTGTGAGGGCCTTTCATTTCCAGGTTATTCTGTAACACAATATAATGCGTCTTAATAAGAAACTGCACACTTAAATGTGTTTTTTGAGCTGTAAAGTGAATGATATGATTTAATTTTTTACCAAATTTATAAAAAAAAACAATATCTACATTTATGGGTTGAACATGGCTCATAACGCCAACCAGAGTTTGAAACCATCTTAGACCTTAGTCCTCACATGGTGACAACCATTTAGATCGTCTCTAACTCACCTTTAATGTAAAAACGTTAACACCCTCTAATCGAAGGTTTGCAGCCTCCGGCCGCCAGCAACCACTCTTGAGTGGAAAGCTGCGCTTGGTTTTAATTTATGATGAAACTAGACCCCAACACATCGTAGATGTGAGACGTTTCCTATCCTCTCCTGCCCCTCAACTGTCTGTCACACATATAATTTGTTCAAATGGCACAGAACAAAACACTGTAGACGAGAAGCCTCTACTTCATACAGATTTCTGTCCACAAGTGTGTGTGCTGTTGCTGGAGTCGTTGCTTATAGCGAGACAATCTAGACTTAGCTGGGCAAGCTAATTGGTATGTGTGAGGGGGGGTCGGCATGCGTTTGCCCCACCCCCCCAGCACTGCAAGGAGAGACACTTCAGCTAAATCTCAACTTTCAATTCCATGCTTAACTTAAACCCTGAAACTAACACCAATCTTTAACCAAAGCCTTGACTGACACAACTACTTTAAAAGTTGAACAAAAGTCTCAAAACTTATCTCCAGGAAAGGAATATGATAATACACCTACACACAGAAAGAGAATAAAGAGAATACACAGAGAATTACTTGCACATATACATGCATGCAAGTTGATTTTTTTTTCTCCCTCAGGCTATATTTGCTCCGACGGTCAAGCCAACAGTCAGAGTCCACCATTGCCAGAGCCCATGATAAATTCAGCAGCTCTTCATTTACTTAACGTAGGAGAAGAAGATGAAGAAAGAAACTGTTGTGCAAACAAAAGGATGGATTTACAGAGTAATTTGGCAGGACACTTTTTCGGGTACCTCCTCTACCATCTCTCTCTGTTTGTGATTCCTTCCCCCAGCCTCTCCTCAAGGACATCCCTATTCAGTGGTCACAGCACGGGCTATAAAAATAATTTGACAGGCCATTTTCTGTGTGTGTCTTCCTTCTCTCCTCTTTTCACTTCTCCCCCACCACCTCTTTAGCTCTGAGGTTCGTCATCCTTGGGTGTCGAGTCTCTCTCTGTGAGTGCTGATACCGATACTGGTGGCGTGCACTACTAGCCCGAAGCCTCGGCCACTAATGAGACGTTCAGAAAGGCAGAAACGCCACAGACACCGTTTAAAGAGCACCGAAAAAGACTGGGGATCTCTTCTGATGAGAATAACTCTGCTTCATTACCTTCCCTTTAAGCTTGGCTTTCTATGCAGCTCTTCTGTCTCTCCTCCGTCGCCTCTTGTTTCCTCCCTATCCCCTCTGGTATTTCTCTTCTTTAAACTGCAGCCCCATACTTCATCCCTCAGCTGGTTCTCTCTGTTTCCCAAGCTCGCTCACTCTTCCACTTCTCTTTCTCTGCCTATGATTCTTTGGATCTTTGTCAAATTTGGGGCATCAGTGGAAGAGCTCACACAGCCCTTCGCCTCGTGGGCATTGCATTGCACAATCTAAATCTTGGATTTTTCACTGTCTGGCTGCAAAAGGGATTTTTGCTAACCTGATTATAGAGTTTTGAAATGAAAATATGCCAATTTGTTACATCATCCAGAAGGTTCCTCGTGCTTGTGGTGGGTCAAATAATGGTGTTTACCAGACTTGGTGTAAAGAATCTAAAACAGGAGGTTTGGAAATTGTTTTAGAACAATTGTTTTGATCTGCCATTACATCTGGGTGTGTGTGTATGTGAGTTTTTGTTACCACTTGAGAACCTTTTTTCAGCATAAACACTCATCTTGTCAAGACCAGTAGGCACTGGTCTGTCGGGTTAGTCTTTAGTCCAGCCTTTAGCCAGGCCCACTCCCCCCCCTTCTGTATCCTCTCGCAACGTAAATCATTGAACTGACTTTCTCCCTGATTGTCTGATTTGCTGTTGCAGGTCATAAAGAGGCAGCAATATTAAATTAAGACCATTTCATAACCAATTAAAAACTCCTTGTACGGGTTTTAAGATTAGGGATAAGGTTTTTGGTCAGGCTGTCCACAATCAATGGAAGTCAATGCAAAGTCCTTAAACGTGTCGCTGTGCAAACCTCTGTGTGTGTGTGTGTGTGTGTGTGTGCACGCATGCATGTGAAAAGAAAGAGAAAAGTGGGTTGTAAAGGTCAAGTAAATGCCACCACTCAAGACGACATTTAAGAGCAAAGTTTGTTGGCGACATAACGATGATGGACTCGACACACACACTTATTCACACAGCCTTCATTAGTTCAGTGCAGGGGCTGATACAATGTGTAAATTTGTGCGTTTATATGAGGCCCCTCTTGTACTTGTGTACGAGTTGCATGGGAGTGCTTGCGTCCAAGCCCAGAGTGTAAGCAGAGTGTGTGTTGTAGTTGGTGCGCGTGTTCCCATCCAGACGTGGTTTTTAAAGGCTAATTCCCTTTGTAAGAGGATGTTTTAAAGCCCTTGTCAATCACGTGGCCACATATCGATTCAGAGGCTTCTTGATTTAGTACACGCTTGTTTAAAGAACACATTTACAGTGTTTTTTGTTCTTTTTTGCATGTGTGTACATGTCTGTTTCCGTGTACATGTAACTTGGCTGTAATGACGGATGGGATGGAAACCCCCCTCACCACCCGCCACCCCCACCCTCAGCCGCCACATCATCTGTCTATGTGTTTTTATAGCAGGAGAAACGAGGCTCCCAGACTCACATTAACACCTTGATATATCGCTGATCTGCCACTCCCGACGCGACGGGGAACGGAGAGGCGACAGCTTCTGTGCCCCTGCAGGGCCGCTCACATCCCCTGAGCAAATCCCTATCCAATTTCCATCTCACTCTAAAGAGAGCTAGCTTGGTGTGTTATTTATCTATTTTATATTTTATGTATTTTTTGTCCTTGTTGCTCACCAGGCGGGAAAAGGAAAAACGGTTTCTGCAATGGTCCTGTAGCTCTGTTACAAGCAAAGTCTCCACGTTTCATTGCAGGGGAATAACGGGCTAACACTGTTAACAAATGGTCAGTGTTGTGGAAGGTGGTGTTCAAGGGGAAGAGATTTATTTTAATATGAGGCAACTATACTTCATTTTTTTTAAAACTATAGCTAAGTGAGGAACTTATAATAAATAAAGGCACTGTTTTATTTGTCTATTCTATGGTTTGTCATGGAAAAGAAAATCACAAGCCTTCAACAATAATCAGATGTTTATCGATGTATTACGCTAAAGAATAGTTTTGTATTGTCAGTGCTTTGGAAATGCCAGTGTGGTTCGCAGTGCATAATTCTATGTATTTTCATATTTTCTCCTCAGCAGTCGTTTAAATGATCTCAGACTTAAATCTTCTCAACATTTGTCAATATTTCTCTCTTTTCCCTCTGTTGAACATTGTTCCTTGTTGTTGATCCTGGGCATGCGGCCAATATTTATCCATCCGTATGGAGACACACTCGTCTTTTTCCAACAACCTGTTTGTCTTTCTTTCTGCCTTTTCCTCATTTCCTTGGGTCTCCTCTCCTCTCCTTTATCCCACTGTCCGCCCTGCAGACCTCTCCCAGCGTGTCCATGACCAGGTCCTAAGTTATGTCCTCTGTCCCTACTTTCCTATCCTAGCTCCCTCCTCCCCTGGTGTCGACTCCGCCCCTTTGCAGCGCACAGCCAGTCACAGCACTGGGACAGGAAACTACAGCCGAGGCGGGACCAACAACTATGCCACAGTGGGGCCGGGCTACACCTCAAGCGGCGGCAGCGACGTGTACGGCTCGGACCCCTACGTGGCCGACCCCTACCGCACCCTGCAGTACTGCCCCTCGGTGGTGGAATCACCCTACAGCAAGTCTGGACCAGTCCTACCGCCTGAAGGCAGCCTGCAGCGCTCACCTTCCATCGACTCTATTCAGAAAGACCCAAGGTAGGATGGAAGGTGTTGTGGACTGTGTGTTGTTTGAGTATGTGTGTTAGGTGTGAAGGATTCTGGTGAAGGATAGGAAAATATATGACTACCTATCGAAGAGTGCAAATACACACTTGTTACACATCTCCAACTAAACATATTTTTTTGTACATAGTATATTTTGCAAACCTCAGTCTTTAGTTGGTCACCCATCATCCAACATCATCATGCTKCATAGTTCAGGGGTCACATGGCATGCATGTCCAAGCTTAGTTAGACATGCTTAAGTTTCTCTTTTACACAGTGCTACTGTTGTTCATTACACCTTATTAACATCAGGACTAGTTCTAGGCAGAGGTAACACAAATGCATAAAGACAAAAAAACAACTAATGAAAGACAGTGTCACTGACACACCACTAGCTCAGAAGCTCTATTTCACCTCCCTCAGTGTCAAGCTGTGTGTAGAAGATTCCTACTGGGCTGTGATCACTTCCACCCTCTTGTCTCTGCAATTAAGCAAAGCTCATTCTCCCTCTTTATTTATATATATTTCACAGGACTCTTGATGTATAATTCCTTTAATTACAGAGCGGGAGGGACTGCGACTTCTGTAGATCAAGTCCCAGCAGCAGCTGTCAGTCACGGGAGAAAGGGACACGGAGAGAGTGAGCAAGAGAGAAAGACGAGATAAAAGAATAGAAGAGGCTGGAGGAAAATAATTAAAACAATGGCAAAGAAAGAAATATGTGAATAATCGTCCTCAAGAGTGTCTCTATTTGAAACTCATGTATCTTTTTTCTGAGTAGTACACATAGGTGATCACTTGATTTGCAGTAACCAGAGAAACAAATTGTTTCTCCCGCTTTTACACTTAATATAAGACAGCAGAAAGAAACCCAGTCTCTTAGGCCATGATTAAGGAAATCTGACCATCTTGTACACGGTTTGAATATTTTGTGAGCTCTTTTGTGAGTTTAACGCCCCCATGCAGAGTTCAATAAAACCTTATTTAATTAGAAGTTACCAAGTTATCAAGGACTACTTTAAAATTCAGACTGTTGGCGTAAAACTGCTTTCGACTCAGTGTGTTGTTTACTTTTAATTTAGGGCAGCGGTGAGCCCCAATTCATTACGAACCACAGGTGGCCAAAGTGCACAAAATCTGAAAAGAGAACCTTGCAATTAACAGACCTCCATACATTTCACTGTAAGTATGCACACAGTGTTGGTTATTATGCTGAGAACTGACATCACTGGTCATGTTATTGCTGACAGTACCTTTTCTGATTTTTGAGGGACGTAAGATGAATTTTATAAACCTTCCATCCATCATCGATTTCGCTTTGAGGGTCTTGTGGTTGCTGGAGCTAATCCCGGCTGATATTGTGTTAGAGGCAGGGTACACACTGGACAGGTCATCAGTCTATCAGAGGGCTGACATACAAAGACAAACAACCGTTCACACTCACATTCAAACCTAGAGTCATCAAGTCTTTGGACTGTGGGCAGAACCTGGAGAAAACTTCTTCATGTATATTTCTACCCCTTTGATTTCCTATATTCAACAATACTGTCATGTAATTTTAAACACTTCATTGTTCTGGATTACTCATCTAAGTTCTGGTCCTTTTTCTTTCATTTTGGATGTATAAGTGTAGCCACTTTGATTTGCCCCCTTTCAGTTCCCTTCAACTTTAGCTATTGTTGCTGTTGTTAGACTGTAAAAGCCCTGTAAAGACAAAAAGTCCACTGACGCATTTATTTTGAAACGGTTACATAAAGTGTTGAGTAAATCACGAATAACCTTTGCACTAAAACAATGAGCAACTAGAATGGCACTCAGTAGAGGGCATCGCTCCACCAAGGCCCAGCAGCCTCCTTAAATTCAATGTAGCTGCACCAAATTGCACAGAATCAAAGATATCAGTTCCGTAGTTGTGCCTGATTTATCAGGATCCATGAATTTTTCTCTGTGAAAATGTTTCAAAACTTGCAATGGACACATGGATCAAACCCAACATTTACCAGGGTCTTCTCTGATCCATACCACATCCCTCCACATCCTGCTCAGAAACAAAGCAAGTAACAAACCAACAGACAGAGGTGAAAACATAACCTCCTTAGTGATGGTAACCAGCCTATCAATTTAATCAGAGGGCCAGTTGCCTCCTGAAGCTGAGGTACATAAAGGGTCACATCCACTATTGAGGAAATATATTATGAACAAACAAATACTTAGCGTTAATTGTTGCTCTAATTTTGTAATTGGTAGTCACAGGCATAGTTCAGGAATCCATTCCGGTTTATGTTCCTGTCGCTTTCTGTTATTCTGTCCATTTTATACACAAACGTAACCTTGATTCAGGAAAACACTTAATCTAATTTAGTTTCGTCTTTTTTTAAAGTAAATTAAATTAAACCTCTTAGAGCTGATTTCTTAAAACCTTGCATGATCCCTCCTGATATTGTTGAATTTGAGCTTTGTGTTACAATTCTCTCTGCCATGAGGTCAAATAGCCTCCTACTCACACTCTCTCTCATGCTGTAATTGGATCTAGCTGAGCTAACATGAAGTGCTAAATGAGTTAGCAGCTATTAGAGACGAGGAACACTGAGCGTGGGGCAGAGGTTATGTCTGTGTTAATGTGTGTCTGTGGGAGAATGCAGTGTGTGTTTGAGAGAAGACTATATTTCTATGTATATTCTATGACTTGTGTACATTGCTGAAGAGCATGTGTGTGTGTGTGTGTTCGTGTCAGCCGGTTACACAGTTAGGGGCCATTACAGTCGCAGAAGAGTGAGCACGATAGAGCAGAGGTGAGGACAGCGACACAAAAGAGAAAACTCAATAACCGCTAATGGATCGCAGTGAAGAGAGAGGGGCAGAAAGAGAGAGAGGGAGATGAGATAGCATGGAGGAAGAGTGGAAGGAGGGTCTGCTGGAGATGAAGTTAAAGGGAAGATGAACACAGCCGAGGAAAGGGGGGAGGGAAGACAGGAGACACATGATGATAAGAAGGTGGGGAATACATGAAAATGGAGGTGAGGGTTTTGAAAGAAAGAGGAAAAATGGAGGGTGGTAGATGAAGATCAAGATGGAAGGAGGTAAATGTTGGGATGGGATAAAAGACTGCTGTCTCTTTGAAAAAGGATTAACACTCAACTGAATGTCGTGCTTCAACTGAATATTAACATAGGGGAGTATGGTGTCAAGGAAATAGTCTTATAGCATTTAATTTATTAATAACTAATTGTACATTTAAGATAGTCAGTGATACATGTTTACAAATGTGTTACTTA